TGCCCCACTCTGGGCATGGGCCCCTGCCAGCCCTGGCCCTGGGCCCTGCACTCCTTGCCACCACCACTGTTTCAGCTGATTAACTCAGACTGGTGGGGCGGTGGAGCATCCCATGGGAGCAGGGTGAATGTTTGCAGCTGACCAGGAGAAGGGGGGAGGGGAGTGGTTTGCAGCTGGCCGGGAACGGCGGGGGTTGCAGCTTCCCTGCTACATGCCCGGCCAGCTGCAAACCCCACCCTGCTCCCAGCTGGCTGACCTGGCTCAATGTGCTGTGCTCCTGGGCACATGTGCAGAGGCTCTGAGGTTTATTCATGCACACCAACAGCATGTGTAGATGTGCCCACCATGTTTTGGAACAGCTCCTCATAAAAAATAAATAAAAAAAGGAAAGAAAGGAAAGGAAAGGAAAAAGAAAAAGAAACCCAAGAGAACTAAATTTGGATTATATCTTCAACATCTGGAATGGGTAAAACTTTCTGTTAAAGCAAAATTTTGGAAGAAGTACTTTTCAGTAGGGTGCAAGAGATGAAGCACTCAAAAATACATCTAGCATTTTGGCCTAGATTTCAAAGTTGACATCTGAACTTTTTAGACAAGATTTTCTCTAATACCTGTGACCTTGGAGAGTGATACTGGGATTAATTTTCAAAGGAGGCCTCAAATCTGTGTCTATAATCTGTAAACACATTCATGTCCCTGTGTTTAGGTATCCAAATAGGTAGAAATTTAAATATCCATTTTAAATTGATGACCGTTTCACTGGCTCCTGATATAATTCATAGATTCTTCTGCCACAAGTGAAGCCTGGAAGGTTCATAAAATACTGAGACAGCTCCAACCAGACTTATCTATTTTCCAAACTATGAGTGTTCTTTTGATCTTTTGCAGCATATCCTGACCACTTCTTTGTTAGTGTAACCATTTTTGTATAATTTCAGTTAGTTTGTTCCCACTCTTACACTGTTTTTCTATTTTTCATAATATGTGCAGTATAATTGCTTTAGGCTCTCCACAGGGTAACTTAATCACACTAGTGTTTCAGCATCTTTAATGTTGCATGAAATTGTGCTAACCTCTGTCCATACTTATCAGATTTCCTAGACTAGATTTTCCATGCAAAAAAAAAAAAGTTCAATCTAAGTGTACTTAATCTTTGACTTCTCCCAGGCTGGAATGCTTGTCCCAAGCGATCCATGTAAGAATTGTACCTGCAGTTCTGTGGTAGATCCAATCTCCAAGCAAAATATTGTGCAGTGTGAACCAGTGAACTGTCATACATCTTGCCCCTCGGTGAGCTCCATTTTTCATTTTCACTTTCTCAGCCATCGTTTATTTTCTCTAGATTTGAAACAATTAAAGTCCCTCTCATCGAGTCATTGCATTTTCTCTCTTATTGCTTTGTAAACAGGGTTATGAGTATAAAAAGAAATATGGAGAGTGTTGCGGGGAGTGTGTGCAGGTGGCTTGCTTAATTTCTTTGGATAACAGCACTAGCCAGGTGCTCAAGGTAACTGTTATTTTTTATTTTCATTGAACTTTGCTTTAGGCCACTACAGGTGTGAAATGTTGACAAAAGCAAGACAGCTCACAACCAAGACACACCCTCTATTATTTACAGCAGGATACTTTCTATGTTCTTATTAACTAGGGCCACTCATTTTCAGTAAGGGCCTCATTTTTCAAAATGGACACAAATGTTTGGATAACTAAATCCTACCTTAATGTGTTCAAATGTGTAGTGAGATGTGGAAGGTTTCTTAAAGCTGATATGAGTAGGCGGTTCTATGATTAAAATAATGTTTGGAAATTTGGCTCCTGATACTTGCTAACTTATAAGGCCTCAGAAATAGAGGAAAATTACAAGTTTCTAGTGGCATACACTGAAAATCTCATGTCAATCCTTTCAGAGTAACCATACTATGTTTAATCATGTCATGGAAGAAATTATATTAACTTTTTTCATTTTAGCCCGGTGATACGTGGACACCCCAAAATAATAAATGCATCTTTTATGAATGTGATAAAATTGAAGATCAACTTATTACAGTGGAAGTTAGGACACCATGCCCTGCCTTTAACCCTCATGAGTGTAAACCTGTAAGTTTTCACCAGTTTTTTATTCTTTACTATTTATTGAGTTCTGCTGCATTGAATAAGGGTCAATGGATACAAAGCAATTTAAGACAAGAAATCACAATCCATAGTTAATTAATGACCAAGACAGGTGGGTTTCTATTAAGAGAGTGAAACTAATCTTGCCATGGTGTCAGCTGTACCCAACAGACACAGCAAAAAATTGCCTCTCCAACTTCAAATATAAACTATTTCTTGTTTGGAGTATCTGTAGTCAAGGACTGTAGGGGATCTAGGCAGTATGATACCCTTTGAAGTCCACCAACCAAGGTTTTATTTGCTGTCCATTGTACCCCAAACTCCCTGTTTATTAAGGACAAGAAGGCTAACACGTTCTAGAAAGCTCTTCATAGGCCACCTATATGGTAACTTAATCTTTGCATTTTGTCTCCGCACTAAAGGAAGACGTCCAGCTGACTGCCGATGGCTGCTGCAAAATATGTAAATGTAAGTAATTTTCAGCTTTTTTGCCCAAACAGAGTATGTGTGATTATAATATCTCTAGCTATACTAAAGGAGGGTTTATCCACGGTCCATTCCCTAATTTTCTTTAGTTCCCTCTCTTTCACTTAGTCCCGCCAAAGAAAAGGGGCAACATGGCTCGCTTGATAGTGACAAGATATTCCCCACTCCATCCAAAATTTGACTATACTTCCTCACCAGTTCTTTCTACTAGAATTGGGAGATCAAGACTGTGCATTAAGCTGAAATCTCCAACTAATCTTTATGCGTGTTTCCTAACTACATTAATGGCATGTTAATCCTGTGTCATCAACATCTTCCACTCAGAGAAAATGATTTAAGCTTTAACTCTCAGTGTATTTGAAGAAAAGAGGTGAAACATTTCTATTTATTTTTGCCTCTTTCTTAAAGCGGACAGCTGCAAGGTTCACAAGAAACCAACTGTGATCTACCAGGATGAATGCAAATCTTCCAAATCTATCGAATTGACATACTGCGAAGGGTTTTGTGGCAGCTCCTCCAAGTAAGTAGAAACAAGTTCATTATGCTCCACAGAATATAACTACCAGTGTCTGCACCCCTGGTGGCAGCTGGGCTGACAGCAGTAGAGGCTGCTGTTTTTGCCCTCCCTTTAAAGAGTACACCTGAGGCTGGCACCCCAGTTTCCCACCCCTTGTTACTCTACTGATACTCCTTTCTGTCAATTTATCCTTCTGGCCTCTCTTTATTCAACTACTCAAGGGCTATTAAGCATGGAATCATCTGTACACTCTCAACAAATTTAATATACACTTGAAAAGCAAGTCATTCCATTGAATGCGTTGCCTCCTTTATCTCAAGTGTGCCAATATTAGACAATATTTTTCACACAGTAGTACATCAGTGCTATTATACCTTCCGCCACTTGGGCTGAGAGCGTGACACAATATATAATATGATATAAACAATGTTAAAAAGCCAGGCTCACGAAGATAAATACTAGTTCAAGTCACAAAGCAGAACACTGGGGACCTGATGGCAAAGCTCAAACAGGAACAAAAGTAAAACCAGGAGAAAGAGGTATATTGTAGCAATTCTATGATTTACACCACTGTAAAACTGGTGAAGTTCCAATGTCTTTAGCAGTGTTATTTCTGATTTCCCTCTGTGGCAAAAAGAGTCAGGACCTGTATAAGTCATTACTACAATTTGGTTAGTAACAGAGTCCCTCATACGTAGATTGGCCTATCCTTCCTATCAATTACTCTTCCAAAATCATCACCACCATTTTTATTTGTTTTATCATAGCACATAAAAGCCCTAAGAGGGACCTATTGCATTCAGGCCCATAGAGTATACAACAAAAACTTTCTGCCCTTCATTTCTCTCTCTCTCCCATACATGCAGAGAATAAAATTTCCCATTAAACAATGATGACAGTGGACAGACTAAAAATCACTACAATCTCAACTTGCATGTTTGTACCTTATGCTATGTGCACACTTGCAAGCTGGTAATAATAGGCCCAAGCCTGGTCATGCTAAAGTGAAAGAGAGATTTGCCACTGAGCTCAGTGGGAACAGAAACACACCTTCTATGAAACATGTTATTGAAATCATGCTGGGTTTAGAAATGAGTGTCTGGTGATTTTTATGGAAGGACATAAATTCCTTTTCTTTGTCTGCCTGGGCAGGTATTCCTTGGAAGCAAATCAGATGCAACACCAATGTACCTGCTGCCAGGAGCTCAAGAGCCACAGGAGACAAGTGACCCTGACATGTCACAATGGTACAAGAACCAATTATGACTACATCTATGTGGAAGAGTGCCAATGCATAACTGCGTGCAGCCCATCAGAGTCTGAAGACAGGACCAAACAGCTCCAAAGCAGGCAGATTAATTAGCCATATCAGTGAAATAACCTATGCTCCTGCTTAAAACTGTGTTTCTTTCTTATTTTAGCTCTCACTATTACCATGTTTCATTTGTTAAAATGTGAGACTATTCAAGAGCCAAATAAATTGTCTTGTCATGTACTTTGATTTGTGAACAATACTGTTTTTGAAGAGAAACAATGCACAAAATTACAACTTGAATTAAGAGAGGTTGGGTCTTGATTTAAGATGAAAAAAAAACTTTCCTTTACCATTTTTGCTCTTCTTCACCTCACGTTTGTGAGTGTTCTCTCTCACTGGTGAGTCAGCCACCACTGAATCTGTGTGTGTGTGTGTGTGTGTGTGTGCGTATGTGTGTTTTTTGTATGTCAAAAACCTGAAGGCCCTCTACAGAGCATCCTTTTTTGACAGTCTGGAGATCTGCAATTATTTACAAAATTGTTTACATATTAATATTTTGGCAAAGAAAAAGGGCAGTTCTTGGGAAAAAAATATTATGATAATTATCTTATACAAAGAAAACCAAATTTTGTAGTTATATTTCACTGTCTTTTCCTATTTATTTGTGACCAGAGAGATAATTTCATTGGGTATCCTTCTCTGTTGGAGTTTATGTTCTTTAGTGTCAGCGGGCATCTGGTAGTGGCAAGGAGGAGACTGTTTCCTTCTGCATTTTGTCTCTTATTTGATTAATAAAACTTTCAGCATTTTTACATGTAGGTGACTGCTGTTCTTTTCATTATCTCTGCTCACTTTGGCTTAAATTGTGACTTTACAATTGCAATTGTACTCCCTGGTTCCACTACAGGAAGGGAACAAGACATTCCCCAAAACTTCATTTCTGGGTGCAGAATACTGCCCAGTCAGCTCTGTTTATTGGCACAGAGGACTGGGGGAGTCATATTCTTGTTCACTCTCTGTCTACTATTCCCAATGATGGTTGGGGAACATGTAGGCTGCAGCCTCTTTCTTTCTCTGTACCTAAAGCTGAGAACTAGGAAATGCTAGTATAGCAGATCTCAGGAGCATGGCTTTTAGCCAGAATTCTTAATAAACTAATAAACTGAAGTATAGCAGATCTGGTGAAAGATTAATCTTTCCTACTCTCCTGCATGGTATATTAGAGTAAGACAAAATAAAGCTTCTAGGGAAGAACGGTTGCACCTGTAACATGCTCACAGCTAACCATTTGCAAACGGATCCATATCTTAAAACTTAATCCTACATCTGCAAACTCATTTTCTTCCTTCAATACCTGTGAAATCTTGAATTCAGTGGAATTATACCCAGAAGGAATTTGGTTGTATTTCCCCTCAGTACTTTATAAAACAATATTTACCCAAGCTGTCTTGGGTGTTTACTGTGTCAGCACCTGCTACAGCATAAATAATGAAGCCTGAAGTAAGGATTTGGCAGGAAAGTACAGAAGAAACTTGTTTTTTCAAATAATTACACATTTTAAACACACAGAGAAGTCCAAACTCAGTCCCTGGATGAAGTGAATGACATTGCAACCTGTGCCCCATACACCATTAATGGTTTGGGGTCTCAGGGAGTAATTGTTTAGGGATAAAGCAGTGACTGTTAGCTTTACAGTTTGCTTTTACAACATTTTAAAATGACACATGGATATAAATCAAGATTACTTCCAACTGCACGTAAGTGGGGGAAGATAATATCTCAATTCTGTCACTGAAGAAGTCTAAGGTCATAAATATGTGCCTGAAAAGTAATTGGGAAGAGTACTTAAGTGCCTTTCCTACAACTGTTCTCTGAAAGTAAAGAGGTATCGTCAATGCAAAGAAGTCATTCTCCCATAAAGAATGAACTCATACCTAATGCACTGACCACTAACATACGCAAGTTTTGTTTGAGTGTTACTGCTTCCAGGGACCAAGACTATACGACATTATTTCCATCCTATACTCTCACTAGGCTATTAGGAAGAAAAAAAAAATCACTCTTTAATTTATTAACTGTAGCGTTGTATGTAGGAATAGGAAATAGTTTTTCCCTTCTCTTAGACACTGGTCAGGCCTTAGATGGAGTCCTGTGTCCAGATTTGGAGTCCCCATTTTAGGAATGTCATGGACAAAGTGGGGAGAATCAAAAGGAGAGCAGCAAGACAAATAAAGTATTTAGAAAATGTAACCTATGACTAAAGTATGAAAGAACTGCCCCATTTAGCCTAAGAAAGGGAAGATTGAGGGAGCAAGCAAGAAAATGGTCTTCCAACAGATAAAATGTTGTTATACTGCAGATGATGATCAAATATTTCTCAGTGCCCAATGTGAGAATAAAAACTACATTGACTTAAAAGGACCAGGTTTAGATTCATAGATTATAAGGGGCTGGAAGGGACCTCAGAAGATCATCAGGTCCAGCCCCCTGCACCAAGCAGGAAAGATAACTGGGGTCAAGTGACCCCAGCAAGGTGACAGTCCAGTCTCCTCTTGAAGATTTCCAGGGTAGGTGATTGCACCACCTTTGGAGGGAGCTTATTCAACAGTCTGGACACCCTAGCTGTGAAGAAGTTTTTCCTAATGTTGAGCCTGAAACAGTTTTCCAGGAGTTTGTGACCATTGCTCCCGGTTTTCCTCAAAGGCACCCTGGTGAACAGTTGTTCACCGAGCCCTTGATGTATGCCCCTGATTTAGTGATAAGCTGCTACCAGTCCCCTCTCAGCCTTCTCTTCTTCAGCTGAAGAGTCCCAGCTCCCTCAGCCTTACTGCATATGGCTTGCCGTGCAAGTCTCTGATCATAAAAGTGGCCCTTCTCTGGGCTCTCTCAAGCTTTTCTATGTCCTGGTTGAAGTACAGTGCCCAGAACTGGATGCCGTACTCCAGCTGCGGTCTCACCAATGCCAAGTAAAGAGGAAGAATCACTTCCTTGGTTTTGCTGGAGATGCATCAATTAATGCACGCCAGAGTATTATTTGCCTTGCTGGCTACAGCGTCGCACTGCTGGCTCATGTTCATACTGTGGTCAGTTATTACCCACAGGTCTCTTTCATTCGTAGTAATTTAGATTCAGATTAGATGCTATGAACACATACACCCCGTCTCACCCACCCAATTGGGTTTCCCTTCTCTGCCTGCTTCCCTGGAACAGCACTAGCAGCCATAAGTAAGCCAAGGGGACATGGCAGGGCACAGGTGAGTTGCAAGGGTTGGGAGGGGGAAAAGGGGTAGCAGGGAGGATCCCCAAGGGGCAAGGGAGTGTACCAGGCAGGGGGCCTGAGGGGCAGAGGGGAAGCCTTGGGTTTGGGGGAACTCCAAGGGGCAAGGGGAAGCCGTGGGGTTAGTGAGGACCCCAGAATGGGAGAGGGGGAGGGGATTCTTACTTTTCAGTCCTCAAGGCCCCTGCTTGCCTGAATGTGTGATTGCTCTAAACTCAAGCTAGGTCTAACACTAATTGCCACTTAGAGAAACCTAAGTGTAGTGTGTAAGAATGCCCTTTGACATCCCTGCAATAAAGGATATCATCCCCAGAAATCCTTCTCTCACATAACTTTAATGAAATCAAGTCATTTCCTCTATTTAAGCCAGGACAAAGGTTGTTACTGATTCTCATTAACACCAGTTGGCTGGGCAGCTCAAGAGAGAAGTTAGCCCTGTAAGTAGGCTTATAATAGGGTCCCCAATTGAAGTGCCCTCCTAAACGAAGCTGGAGGGTCATCAGCAGTATTGAGTGCAACAAAACTGTTTTGTTCCCACATCATGAGAAAGAGAGCAGGAATAAAAGATATTAAGCTATGTGTCTGATCTTGTAAGTCTCAGACTGTTTCTATACAGTTAAGTCACTGATATACATTTAAAGGTGCAGTGTGATCTGATTTCTGATCCCAACAACTTTACCTATTTCCATGCCACACATGCATGGCAGGACATGTAATTTTGGGAGTGGGGACCAGATGACAATCACACCATACTTGCCAGTGCAGAGGGAGCCTGGGATCATGATCCTGGACTCTCCCTGCTCTCGGAAGTTGAAAGCTGGCCTCCCAACAATCAGCTGATTGTCAGCTCAGCTGGGGGACTGCACCAGGGGCTGGAGCCAACCTCAGTGCAGTGCCCACCAAGCCAACAGGTAGATGATAGTTAGTTGGGTCCAGTGACCTCACTGGGGTTTTATATCAGTCCTGGTGGGGTCTCCACCAAGGTTGTTGGTTGTGCACGGTGGGAACTGCACCAGGGCTGTTTTCCAAACCCTGATGTAGTCACCAGATCCAGCCAGACAGAGCTGCCTGGGGTGGGGTTTAGAGCTCCCAGTGGGAGGAAACCTCTGCTACCCCTCACCAGGAGCCTCCCCTACACTGGGCTGCCCAGAGTTTAAACTCAGCACAGTCTAAAGCCTTGGCAGGGGAAGCTAAAAGGCTCCCCACCTAACACTGCCAGGTGCCAGTGCTTCTTAGTGCAGGGTTTAAAGTCCAGGGACTTTTGGCTAAAGGCCAGGGTTTGTTGGCTACCAGCCACACATTAAATTTAAGGTGCCGTACAAATGAGCCATAACATTTTTCTGCATTATATGTAGATGATTTTTATGGTTTGTTCCCTATTTCATGGTGTCTTAAATCAAGGGTACATGCAGTACCCTTCCTATTTATGCTGGGATTAACATGGTAATCAGGGCATAAATATATGTAGCAGGAACCATAGTGTGCAGAAAAGAGTTAATCTGAATCTCTCCTAATTCAGGCTAACCTGCTGTATTGTATTAAAAAGCTAATATGTCAACTGGTTGTCTGTCCACAAAGACTAAAAGAGTGTCACAGTTGCAATTTTTTTCTGACTATCAGCTAGAAGAATTGTGGAAAACTAAAGTAAATTGTGATCAGTTCCAGTGTTGGTTTGATTTTTCATGAGGCTGAGCAAACTCTGCTTTGAGTGAAGCTTCAATAGAATCTGCAGGTTCTCAGCATCTGTGAAAATCAGACCATACATTTGGACTATTTCAACTCTTTAGTGCTCTACTGCTTCAGTTATCTTCTCTTATACTCACAAGTTATAACGGTTGTTTAGGACACTGTTTGATCTGTTGGGTTTGCTGAATTATTCAAGGCAATTCAGGTGTCTTTCTTAGCATTTTCACTTAAAATGTTGTTAGGCTGCCCTCTGTGTTGAGTGGTCTCCTAGGAACCTTCTACATTCAGCTGAAATATCTTACCACCACTAAATACACATTAGTATAGGAGAAAATATTTACTCACTAACAGCAAGACAGTGATTAAATCCTACAATACCAACAATACAAAATC